TAATTATTAATTATATATTAATAAAATCTCTAAATTTTTAGCTTTATTTTGATATATTTTTTATTAATTTCTATGCAATAGTTTTTAAGTAATGAATAAATAAAAAATTTCAAAATTTTTTATATCACACTATATCTCATAATTTTGTAAGACTTCCTGTAAAAGATGTTTACATACCTAGATTTTTCTATATACAGTATATATAATTTTGTAGAAATTGCGACAAGTTAAATCAAATAATTCATAATTAAAAATCAATCACAAAAAAGAAACTTCCAGAAATTACTTATCTTTATATAATTTCCGAATATTCAATCCTGGTAATATTTTAATATCTTTAGAACACTAATTGCAATTAATTCTAAAATATTTTTTCTTGTAGATAATAAAAAAAGTGTGGTATGTATCGTTCTAGAACATTTATTCAACGTAATTATCATTATCACTACAGTATCGTTAACTTTGCATCCTATATACGTAGTTATCTGAAAACTATATGCAGTATTATCCCTCAAAAACAATGCAAGTGCAACTGTATGTATACTGCACAATTTCTGCACAACGCTGCACGATTTCTGTATGGGCAACACCCCCATGTCGTTTTAAAATGGTAATAAAAAATCTCTGGTGTAGAAAAGAATTCAAGTGAATGAAAAAAAAATTCAGTTATTATGGGCAGATAACGAACTCGGACCATTTTAACAACAAACTCGCACCACCTCTTTAAAGAAAAAAAACGCTCGCACCACCTTAAAAAAAACAACTCGCATCACACACCTTAAAAATTTATTTATTTATTTTATTATACTGTAAAACTTGAGTTTATAATATGATCGCCATCACCGTGTAACAATCCGTTTATCGAGAATTAATGTATATATAAATATAATTTTCTCTTTTAATCAACCGTAGCATCCAGAACCTCCAAATATTAAAAAATTTTAGTAACCAAATCAACATATAAAAACGGAACCCTTTTGCAAGATTTATATCCAGGCCTTTTTCTATACTCTTATAATATAAGTGCAAGTTTACCGACCGTTCTTAACATATACAATTCCTTTTCAAAAGTCGGGTAAGTCACAAATCACGTGATAGTTATAAAGTTACCAATAAATATTGTAATTTTCTATCCGCGACCCATCGGGCCCGACAGATTATTTAACGGTCTGAACCAATTTTCCAGAATCGAAAATACGGTTTCTTCAATGATGTTTGATACATCTCAATATATTAATTCAGTGCATTTGGAACACACCTATATAAAAGGTGAAATAATGGATACTCCCTGGATACTTTGTAAAGGTAACGAATATTTTAAAGTTAGAAAAGAATTATTAAGTGGAATGCTGACAATTTAATCTCTGGTTGTATTTTTTTAGCATTTATTGTATTTTTTTTTAATATTCTATCCATTATTATACTTTTGAATTATATATTTGGTCATGTGAGGAAATTTACGAAAACCTTGGTTGTTACGCACATAAAGAACATTAAATATGAAGAATTTGGTTCATTAGAATATTTTGCGAATGGAGGTACTTGTCAAGTTAAAAAGGCGATGTGGAGTAATGAAAGTAATAAAAAATATGTTATCCTAAAATATGTGAGAGCAGAATCAATCCAGGAACTCAATAGAGAGGTATATAAATTTTGCATTAAACATTTAATACAGCGATATAAATTATTTTAAATGAATTTTTAATTAGCTTAAAGTTCATCGTGCAGTAAACATTAAAAACTCTCCCGAAAATATTATAAAGTTCTACGGATTAAGGTACGCTTAAGTAAAAATGAGATGATAAAATGTCTACATTAATAATAACAATAAATATCTTCTTTTACGCATACAATTTTGGGTGCCTGTTCATCAGTAAAAGTAAGTTTCACATTTAAAATATGAAAATACAGTATTTGACATATATTCTTGTAAAGTATAACACATAATTCTTATTTTATACATAGCACCCGACGGATCCGATGTAATCGTTCTAGAATATGCCGAGTTAGGCGATTTACGTGAATATTTAAAAAGCAAATTTGCCAACATAACGTGGGAAGAGAAGATTGACATTAGCATGCAGATTTCAAATGGTTTAAGTTTTTTGCACACCAACGATATTTTACACAGAGACCTGGTAAGAGTTATTTGTTCGTACACATACATGTATATAAGAAACTAATACGCAAAATTTATAATAATTCATATTTATTAATGATGGTTAGCATACTAGAAATATAGTTTTGTCAGCACGCGGTGGAAAAGTTAGAGCGATGATAACTGACTTTGGAATGTCAAAAGTCTTGTCCCGTAAAAGTCTGACAGTTTCAGAAATCCATGGGTTGTTGGCATTTGTAGATCCCATAGTATTAAACGAAAAAAGTTATCTAAATTTCACCGAAAAATCCGATGTATACAGTTTAGGTGTAATACTATGGGAAATATCAAGCGGTATACCACCATTTAAAGGCTGGAATAATTGTAATATTCTAGCATCCGTACTATATGGTGAAAGAGAGAAGCCAATACAAGATACACCATGCGAGTACATAGAGATTTATCAAAAATGCTGGGATAAAAACCCAGATCAACGTCCAAATGTCGATTATGTATCGAGAAAACTTAAGGAGAAAACAATAATTACTGGGTCCAAATTCAAAGGGTGGGAAAAATGTTGCGAAAATTATCCTCATTATTCATCAATTCCTAGATTATTAAAGACAAGTAAGAAAAAATTAATGAAGCTAATGTTCTTCTTTTATCCTTCTCAAATTCTTACTGATACAGTATATTGTTTTACAGGAACACTATCTGAGCCCGATTCTATTTCTTTAAATTTAATAGCAAATGGTATGAACTTATAATTAGATACTCGTGTGATATATATATATATGACTATTAACACTTTCTTTATTTATTCTTAAGAGCAAACCACGGAATTACTAGTAAATTTACAGGAAATAGATAAATGGTGCATTGAACAACCGAGTAAGTATTATTTTCGGAAAATATCTAAAGTTTGTAATCAATTATTCCATAATTCTTTTCTTTTCTTTTTTTGTAGAAAATGATGTGATGAAATTTATAAAACAGAGTGCACCCAACCTTGCCAAACTAATAGAACATAAAAAATTTTCTGTTAATGAAAATTCTTTCGCTCACCAAATTTAAGATTTTAAGATTTTTAGCGAAATATCCCCTTTGTATACACATTATATATGTACAAACATTCTTCTATGCAATTAGAATATGAACTTCGATATAAAATTTTCAAAAAAACAAAGCACAAACGCAATATATAAATATCACAAACTCGAACAAAAATGTTATTTTCCCATTTTTCCAACTCCGATATGGACCTTGAAATAAAATAAATTCTTTGCTATTATGACAAGTAAATAATAATATTTTGATATAAAGTATACTCATGAAATTATTTGGAAAACTGTTAGTTACAATATTGAATACCAAGTGATTTATTTATATTATTCTCGCTCGGAACCTATCCTATAAGATAAGAATTACGGAAATGTCTTTGCTATCATCTTCTAGGGTTGTATTTATTAAATATTTTGGACTTATTGAATCAATTTATTCTACTGTATACTGTATACCTTGTAATTATTTTATTAAGAATCGAGCTATTAGAAATATACTTTAATAACAAAATAATTTAATAATACTATAGTTTATTTTAAACATTGGTTATAATAAATACAGTGTGTTGCAAAAATTTTATTTACATGACATAAATATCAATGACTTTTTTAAAATAAAAACAATTCACATGAAATTTTAAATATATAAATGGCATGTTTTAACAAAGATATATACAGTTTAGTGCAAATAAATAACAATTAAAAAATTATTTATTATAATCAAACTGATTTATCAAATTATATCAAAAATAAATATTTTTTAAAGATAAGACTAAGAATCCTAAAGATTTGATTCAATTCAATTCTTGATTCTCAGGTTTATATTAAATTTACTATGTGGGTTATAACCTACCATTATTTTTAATAGTGGTTTGAACCTTATGTGAGTTATGCAAATCTGTCTGATTCCAATTTTTGGAACCATAAATAAGACACATATAATTATATAAAAAAAAATCAATATAATATTCTTTTACCATTTTGTTTTATTATTAACTTATACCTCTGTTTCATCAAATATACTAATTTTTTTACAATTTCAAAAATATAATTTTATTCTTCCTGTATATATTGTATTAACTTCTTATGATTTTTAGATATTTTTTTCTTTATATTTTTCATAATAATATTTTATAAGTTCTTAATTAGACTTAAATAAAAATTATTAAAAACAATTTCATATTACATTTCATATTAAGAAAATTATAAACAAAGTTTTGTTTATTATTAATAAAGAAAAATTTTATTAAATTAAAGAAAAATCAAATAACTTTGTTATTTTTTAAAAAAAAAAAAAATCTTTTTTATATAAATAATCAAAATATAAAATATAATAAAAAATAATTAAATTTTTACTAATTTTTTTACCAATCCAAAAAACAAATGTTTCAAAAAAGTTTTATATTTCTTTATAATAAAGTTTATATGTTTTTTTTAATAATATTATTATTTAAAAGCTATAGTTTCTTTTTGCTTATTATTTTTTTTTTGAAATAAACTTTTTATATTTCTGTAAATAAATATAAAAAAACTTATCAATAAAATTAAAGAAAAAAAAACTTGTAAAAAAAAATCATTTTCTTTTTTTTCAGAAATTTAAAACATTAGACAAAATAGACACAGGTTTTTTAAACCTTTTTTCATTTTTCTTAAGCTTTTTTTTTGTCTTCTCAAGTATATAAATCTTTTTTTAATTTTTTTTTAATTTTTTTTCTATTTTAATTAAATCTTGGATTTTTGATTATATATAAATTCTTGAATAATAATTGGCTTGAAATTTGAATTGATTGGTTTATATATAATAAGAAATATAAACAAGGCATGTAAATTTTATGTATTTTATATCATATAACTTTTACCTGATAATGTAATTAGTTATAATAAAAAGAGCAATGTAACAAAATGTATTTTTTAGTAATAAAAGTGATTTGATACTTCTTTTTTATCTTTTAAACTGGTCTTATTTTTTTTAAGATCAAGAAAACTTTTATTTCAATTTAGTAATAAGCTAATTATATTGTTAATTATTATAAAAATAGTTGAAAAGAGAGTTTTAAAAATATTTACTAGTTTAATAAAACTATAAATTCTTAAATAATTAACTGGAAAAAAATATTGAAATAATATATTAACTCTTTTTAAAGATTAGAAATTTTAAACATAAAGTTTTAAGAAATACTTCTCTAAATATATTTTAAACATTTTTGGTCAACAATAAAATAGTAAAAATTAAATAAATATCTAACTACAAATAGTTAGATTAAAAATTATTTAAGAAAAATTGTTGTTTTATCAGTATAAATTTTTCTTTCTTTTTTTTCATTTTTTTTAAAAAAATAAAAAGTTTTTATTTTTATAATATCAAAGTAATTATATAGAAATAACAGTTCCAAATAAAAAATTGACTATAATATTTTAGACTAATAAAGTATTTCAAAATAAAATAAAATAATTGGTTTTATTTTATATAATTATATATAGAAGTTTTAAACTTATAACAAGTGTGCTATATAGTATTTTTAATGCTTTGTAAGAACAAAATAAGAATAATGTTAATTTATATTTGCTATAAACAAATATTTTTATAAAATAAAAAAATATAGAAACAGAATAAATAAAAATAAAAGAAAATATTTGAATAAATATAAAATAAATCAAAAGAAGATAAAATTCACAATTAAATATATTGAAACTTTCAATTTTTTTCTTAACAAATTTCAAAATTATTAATAAAAAAAATTTTCAATTCTTAATAATTTAATTTATTCAATATAGGTTTTGTTTCAAAATTATTATTTTGATCAATTTTACAACTCTGTTCTAATATTAAAATCTAAAGATAATATATAAAAATTGAATTTCAAAAGAAAAAAAACAATAGAAAAAATATTACATGATATAGTTGATTAAAAAAACTTTTACCTGTTTATTACTTATAGTAATTTTTTTGAAAGAAATGGTTTGTTTCTCTCTTTTTAATATACTAACCATGCTATAAGCTCAAAAATATAAGAACTTTAAGAACTGCTATTGCATTGGGATAGAATTTCTAGTTAAAAATTAAATAAGTTTAAAGGTTTTTTTTACTCTTTAATTATATAAAAAAAGATCTATAACAGTTTTTTTTTACAACTTTATCTTTATATACTTTTTTTTTAACAATTATAAATATTATCCTTATATCAATTCTCAATGCTATAAATTTATTCCTAAAATTATATTTAAATAAAGTTAATAAATCTTTTGCTTGTTTTAATTAAATATTCTTAACTATTTTCTTAATATACAATATTGTATCACTTAAAAATTTACAAAATTTTTTATAACACAACAAAATCAGTTTTATCTCTTTAAATAATTAATACAGAATTAATAATTAATCAAAATTTAACAAGCATATCTTGAATATAGCTTATTATTATATACAGTAGTGTGCAAAAAAAACCAGAATTTTTTTAACACATATTTTTATTAATAAATTAATATAAAATTATTT